TATTACAATTTAAAATAACAGTTTTCTGTTCTAATATTTTTTTAAATGTCATTTTTCACAAGATACTTCAGTCTTTAGTGTCTCTCAAAAATTATTCTAAAATGCTGATTTGATGCTCAAGTATTATTATCACAGTTTAAAAAAAATGCTGCTTAATATTTTTGTATAAACTGTGATACGTTTTTTGATTAATAGAAAGTTCAAGAGAACAGCATTCATTTGAGAAAGAAATCTTGTGGAACATTATAAATTATGATCAATTTAATGCATCCTTGCTAAATAGGAGTACTAAAAAAAGACTACTGTGTGTCTGAATTTTATTGTTAATATTATGAATTATATTCATTCATATATATTCATAACTTATGTAACTTCATATTCTCATTTTGTTTGTTATTTATTTAAAATCTAAGAAAATATATCAGTGTTTTATTGGTACTATTTGTTCATGAAACATTTTTGTTCAGTTATATTTTGCCAGAAGTCACAAAAAAAAAAGTAAGGATTGTTGAAGTTTCATGTCTGGGATTATTCATCACCTTCCATCTGTCTTTTTTGTAGGTCAACCCATCCATGCAATGGTGGCTCATATGTTCACATTTATGTGATCAAAAATATGGTAAAACAGTAATATTGTGAAATATTACAATTTAAAATAACAGTTTTCTGTTCTAATATTTTTTTAAATGTCATTTTTCACAAGATACTTCAGTCTTTAGTGTCTCTCAAAAATTATTCTAAAATGCTGATTTGATGCTCAAGTATTATTATCACAGTTTAAAAAAAATGCTGCTTAATATTTTTGTATAAACTGTGATACGTTTTTTGATTAATAGAAAGTTCAAGAGAACAGCATTCATTTGAGAAAGAAATCTTGTGGAACATTATAAATTCTGATCAATTTAATGCATCCTTGCTAAATAGGAGTACTAAAAAAAGACTACTGTGTGTCTGAATTTTATTGTTAATATTACGAATTATATTCATTCATATATATTCATAACTTATGTAACTTCATATTCTCATTTTGTTTGTTATTTATTTAAAATCTAAGAAAATATATCAGTGTTTTATTGGTACTATTTGTTCATGAAACATTTTTGTTCAGTTATATTTTGCCAGAAGTCACAAAAAAAAAAGTAAGGATTGTTGAAGTTTCATGTCTGGGATTATTCATCACCTTCCATCTGTCTTTTTTGTAGGTCAACCCATCCATGCAATGGTGGCTCACTTGGATGCTGTTACTAGTCTGGCTATAGATCCAAATGGCATCTACTTGATGTCAGGAAGTAAGTGTTTTTCTTTTTTTTTCCTTCGGCTCTTTACCCTTCATTTATCGTTTATTGCATGTATACATTTATTACATGTATATATCTGCTGAAGTACGAAAGTCACAGAGATCTGGAAATAATGACAGAATTTAAATTTTGTACAAAACTATCCCTTTAAAAATGAACTCAATGTCTCTTCTTCATCTAACTCAGGTCATGATAGTTCCATCCGCTTGTGGAACATGGACAGTAAGACGTGCGTACAGGAGGTTACCGCACACAGGAAAAAGTCAGACGAGGCCATATACGATGTTGCCTTCCACCCATCTAAGGCATACATAGGAAGTGCCGGAGCTGATGCCCTGGCCAAAGTGTTTGTATAAAAGAACGTCCGAATGAATGCATACGTGAAGACGAGAAAGAAAGGACTGCTTCACTGCCTTGTGTAACAAGAGTAGCATTTCTCACACTACACTGAAGTGGCTTCCACCTTCGCTGTCAAACTCACACCACACACACAACATTACCAGGTGCCAAGAGGGGGGCGTGCCGTGTTTTTGCGAAGCCAGTGTGGAGTGCTCAATCAGTTTTAATCTTTTTTTTTCTTCTCAAAAAAAAGAAAAGAAAAATTAACTAATTTACTGTAAGTCAAAGCTGGGGTGAAACCAGTGTTTGTAGCCTTTTGACTGGTTTTGAACTGAGCTGATAATGTGTCCTGTAGGTATGTTTCAGTGACCATGGAGTGGTTATCATGTTCATCCATAAGTAGGTTGTCACCGACCATCATCCTGGCACCAGAGGAACTGAGTCCCGCCCTGCCGAGCCATAAACCAGACCCTAATCTCAGTCACCCTCCTCACCCTAATGTAGCGTGCAAATACAGTTAAACTCAGTCAACCTTCATACCTTTAGCGTTTGTTCCATTTTTTGTGTAAAAAAAAAAAGTATAGTTTTTATAATCAATTTTATATAAATAAAGACTGTCATAAAACCGCTGAAAATCACATTTTTTAAAGGGACTATAATCCCACTCAAGCCCTCCATTTAATGCGGTTCTCTTTCATGAAGGTCTTGTGTCTCTGGAAACCCTGGATGAGTGCATACTGCATTGCTTTATCATTGTTTTATCACATAACGGAGAGACTATACGCTAGTAGAAGCACAGCGCGTGGTGCCCTGAGAGCTTTTAGGAATACAGCGCGTGGTGCCCTGAGAGCTTTTAGGAATTTGCAAATAAACTGCAGCATCCTGTCACTATGTGATGTTTCTGTACACCTTACTGTAAAATGAGTTTGAGTATCACAGGTTAGATATCCAAACGCTATTTATTTTCAGTTTGTGGATAGTCTTATCCTTTGTTCAGAGCATAGCTTGATGGTAACTCAAAGATTGGGCTGTTGCTAACCAAACCGAACAGGTTATCTGATAGGAAATTAGCGTACGTGGGTTAATATAAAAGCTCTGTTGTTGGCTGAAAACGGGGTTTAAATTCACCTCCTGATGCTGGAGATCAGGGGAGAAATAAGTTAAAGGGATAGTTCACCCCAAAATAAAAAATCTGTCATCGTTTACTCACCCTCATGTCATTACAGACCTGTATAACGAACTTAAAAGCTATTTTGAGAAATGAAATGGAACTCAATGGTCACCAAAACGCATCTTGTGTTCTGCAAAAGAAAGATAACCATACAGGTTTAGAATGACATGAGGGCGAGTAAATGATAGAATTTTCATTTTTTGGGATTGGAATTGTCAATCAAACGTATTCTAAATATTTGGTTTGGTCGTTCTACCCCAATCTGTTCAATGATTTTTAAAGGAAATAATGCCGTTAATGGTGTAACAAAAGACCTTTTGTTTGTGTAATGCATGATTAATACTAGTTTGCTACCCCTGGGAAGAACTATATTTTATTATAGAACCCAGATTTATTTATGCTATTGTGTGAGTGAAAACTGTGTATTTGTGTACTGCCATCAGAATGCATAAGAGGGCGCTGTTTCACTGACGATCCTCTTCATGACTGCTTTTGCTTACCATCTTGAGCATTACCTTGCATAACTGCAATAGAATCTTCAAGTCCCGAAATTAATATAAAAGAGCCTTTTGTTACAGTGTCCCCTCCACAGGGAAAAAAAAAGACGTGCCAGAAGCAGCGAGTGAATGTTTTTCTCCAGGAACATAAAGAGAAAGACTATAAATCACAAATAATTACATTCTCCACATTATAGAGAGGTTGACATGCAATACTGTGTGATACATTCTCAATTAAGCTGTAAACTCCTTTGGATCAAACATACCAATACCTTTATAACAAAACCGTTCAAATCGCTTTTTCTACAAAAGTGATTTTTCTTATTCACTCGTGCCCGTTTTTCTTCTTCCTTTTCTCCACTTTCTGTTCTTGCACTTAAGCAGTCGCACTGTCTAGTTGAACTCTGTGAAGTCCCTGCAGATGCCTCGTACGATGGGCTGCTGGAACTGCGCCAGGCCGGTGAACTCACGAGTGAAAAACACATGGCTTTCCTTGGGCTCGGACGCCATTGCCTTCAGATCTTCCATCGGAGCCCAAGCTACGCCCACTGCATACACAGTGATTCCTGTGAAGAAACAAGAAGAACACGGTCAAGATGACATCATACTTGTTTACTTTGTGAATGCACTATTAATATTTTGTGCATTAGAGATAAAGTACTTTTTAGAGCTCTTAAATGTTCTAGATCAATTGTTTTTAACCTTTACAGACCCAGGAACCTCCACCTACACCCTTACCACCCCAGGGACCTTCACTGTAAAAATCAGGCTAGATTTTGTTGGTAACACTTAATTATGGGGGTTGAAAACCTAGGTTCTAGATGGAATGTCAGTGTAAAAAGCGTACCCTCCCTCTGGGCGGCCATAGCCGGCCCTCTCACATCATCATAAGACTGTCCATCAGTGATGATGATGAGGAAATTCTTGTTGGAGCCTGTGCGGGGTTTAAAGAGACTCCGCACGGCAAAGTTGATGGCGTCTCCAGTGGCCGTTCCTCCGCTCATGTACGGGATGTTCTGCAGGGCCCTCAGAGCATTATCTTTTGTGGTGTGCTCATTGAAGTTGAACTCCATCCTTTGGTCGTAGGTGAACTGAATGGCACCGATGCGAGAGCCAATGTCAGAGATGTCAAAGTTGCGCGCGATAGAGAGAAGAAGGTCCAGCACTAGCCGAAAGTTCCCATCACCTACGCTGCTGGAGCCGTCAATCAGGAAGCCCAGGTTCACTGAGTTATAGCATGTCTTGCTGCAGAGCATCTGATCAATGGAGCAAAGTTTATGAGCTAGTGGCTTCACAAACTTGTTGGTGCCGAACCAGCTGGGCATGGTGAATGAGAAGAACTCGTTGTCCTTGCACACTGCCTGTGAGATATATGTCGGTATAAATGGATTTCAGCAAACTCATATGCTTCCACTGAAGATTTGTGTTTGTGAAACATCTTACCTTTCTCATGAAGTCTTGCTCGCTCACCAGGCTCATCTCCTCAGGGGCAGGTTTGGCGACAGACACAAAGAAGATGTTAATACCAGACTCTCTGGCTAAAATTGCTGCCTCCTCCACATTATCAGAAGGCCACCCATCGACAAACACCACAATGATCCGTGGGTAACCTCTCCGAACACCAAAATCCGGATTGAAGAAGTTCCTCACAGTGTGCAGTATGGCCTTACCTGTGCAAAAGGCAATAACTCAAGCCTGCCAAGTTCTGTTTATTTAAGCCAAAGCATTTGTGTCACAGATCCGTGACATGCTGTCAATTATTAAACAAAAGCATATCGACTGTAAAAACTAGGGGGAAAAAATGCATTTACAATAATGCATTGGGCCAAGGCATTTTGAAGAGTTTCAAAGCACAAATGTGAAAATGTTTGCATGCTACATTGTTATACGACTCGGTAGCAACAAGTGACTCTTTTTGAGTCATTGATTAATTTATTCAACCAGTTCTACAAAACTTGATTCCTTCAGGGGCAAAACAAATGACTGCCTTTGAGTAACAGAATCATTCACTCAACCTATTTGTTTAAAACAACAACAAAAAAGAGCTCTTTCATTCAGAAATGTAACAAGTTTATGACCGAGTTATTGAATCATACATTCAACCAATTAGTTCAAAACACTGATGTGTGTTTTTCAGAGATGCGCAAATGCTGTGGCTTCGTTTGGAACTATTTTCATTCCCAGAAATAGGCAAAGTCACTGGTAACACTGAAAACAGGGGTTTCCTTTCATGGTGACTTGAAATGTTTGAAGAGATAGTTCACCCCAAAATGAAATTCTGTCATCATTTACTCAAGTTGTTCCAAACCTGTATGAATTTCCTTCTTCGGTTAAACATAAAATAAGATATTTTGAAGAATGTGGGTAAGCAAATAGTAACTGGTCCCCACTGACTTCCATAGCATGGAAAAATACTATGGAAATCAATGGGAAAATATTTTGTTCATCAGAAGAAAGAAATTCAACTTGAATGTAAGTAAATGATGACAGAATTTTCATCTTTGGATGAACTCTCTTTTAAGTCTAGTAGTTGTACTTTCAAACTATGTATTTTAACGTATTCTGGGGACCTATTGATTTCCATTGTAAGTGCATTACAGTAAATGGCAATTTCTTTTGTTTTATTTATTTATTACTTTTCCAAAAAAAAAAAAAAAATAGCATGATTTTATTGAGATGCTCTATATTCATTTCATCCAATCATTCATTTGAAATGTGAATTGAAGTTGAGGTTATAAACCTGTATTGGTATTGCCCCCAATGTATGGGATCTCTTTGATGGCAAACATCAGATCTTTGGCTGTTGTATAGTTTGACAAGTAGAATTCAGTTCGAGGTGTCTCACTGGAAAGACAAAGATGAAGTTATACTAGCTGACAAAGATACAAATGCTAAACAACTGTGACAAACAACTTGGATTTGCGCAGATCACCTGGTTTGCACCACTCCTACATGAGGACCTGGTGTTCCAACCTTCAGCATGGCTACAAGCTTACTGACAAAGTTCTTCTGCAGGTTGAAGCGCCGCTGTCCAATATTGTAGCTGCTATCCAGCAGCAAAGCCATATCGACTGGGCAATCTGGAACAACATTTACATAGCTCTCTCATGTCACAATCATATTTGGTTTGATTAACAATTTAAATTAGATTGGAAAATCAGGTCATACAGACCCCTGTTTGCTGTTGTTGTTGGAGGAGGCTTCTTTGCTGTCTTTTTGACTGGTTTCTTGGCTGCAAGGGAGAAGTATGGATACTCAGTGTAGACTACATATGTCAATTATTTTCAGTTTTCTGAATGCTTGTTACCTGCTCCAGATGCAACAGTGGCAGAACTGCTGGTTTGGCTGGACACTTCCAAAGGCAAGCTAATTGTTCCTGAGAAAAAGACAAAAATGTAACCTGACAAATCTGTATTGATAAACAACTTTAATTCACTTTTATATTATATTTCGTTTTATATGCTATATCATTTATATAGACCAACTGACCTCACTTTTCCTAATGTTACGACCTAGTTGTTCTTATTGAGATTAGTAGTAGCACATCTTTTTGAAGTTGAGTGTATTCAAGAACAATGTACAGTATTATGATATTCTGAGTACACTAATTCTAATATGTGACCCTGGACCACAAAACCAGTCTTAAGTCACTGGGGTATATTTTTAGCAATAGCCAAAAAAACATTGTATGGGTCTAAATTATCTATTTTTCTCTTATGCCAAAAATCATTAGGATATTAAGCAAAGATTATGTTCCATGAAGATATTTTGTAAATGTCCTACCGTAAATATATCAAAACTTAATTTTTGATTAGTAATATGCATTGCTAAGAACTTCATTTGGACAACTTTAAAGGCGATTTTCTCAATATTTTGATTTTTTTTGCACCCTCAGATTCCAGATTTTCAAATAGTTGTATCTCGGCCAAATATGAGCCGATCCTAACAAACCATACATCAATGGAAAGCTTATTTATTCAGCTTTCAGATGATGTATAAATCTCAATTTCAGAAAATTTACCCTTATGACTGGTTTTGTGGTCCAGGGTCACATATTATTGTTTATTAAATTTATTGTAAATTTAATATTTATTGAAATTATATTGTAAATTATAAAATTACATTTGTATTTTTGACAGTGTGCAGAGCGAGTGAGTAAACAAACATCTGTAAACAAATCTACAAATTCTAAATCAAAACACTAGCATTTGTAATAACGCAAAACATAATTGTCTCCACTCACTGGCCACAGTGAAAGATGAGCTCCATTGGGACAGGGACTGAGACTGAATGCCATGAGCATAAGAGCTAAGGTAGTTTGTCCTCCCTTGCAGTCCGTGAACCTCCACAGGTCCACCAGATAGACTTATGATTCCTCTGGAAGACAGACAAAAACTTTCTTACACGATTCTAGCAAGTCACTAACTTAATCATTATTTCTGTGATTGTACCTGTGTATTGCTGCTCCACATATGCTGGAAACAGAGGCATATACTCCTGAACCAAACAGTGACAGACTCCAGAGAGTGCAGTTTGCTGGGCAGAGCACTCTCTTACGTGTGTCTGGTAGGTCCACCGCACGAGTTCCACAGCTAATTGGTGTCGGAACTAAGAAATGTACAACAGATATTACCCGTAATAAAATGATTATATATCTGTCAAATAAAACAAATGTTACAAAAAATGTTTAAATGATTTTCCCCAAAAGTTCTCTTAAAACTAATAAAATAATTAATACAAAATCAACTACATATAAAACAATTAAAAAGTTACATAAAATTGTAAATAAAGTGGCCCTAACCTTTTAAAAATATATTTCCAAAAGAAAAAAAAAAATAGTTAGCTAAATATTTTCTAGAATGTAACTCAATTCATTATATTTAATATGAAAAGAGTAAAAGAGAGAGAGAAAGAATGAAAAATGGAATTCACTGACCATTTAAATCCGATCCAAAAGTGCAACAGGTCAAAGACAGAATACCTGTAAAAAAATAAAATACAAAAAATAAAGGCAATGACATCTTTTCATCATGGCAATAATTCAGATTAAGACACAAGAAATGTTCGGTAACAATCACTTTGAAGAAACTAACTGCCTACCTAAAACATGAAGTACAGCAAACCACATCGACATGGTTAACGAAGATCTCTGTAGAGACAAAAGAACATCATACCAGGCAACTATGAATAAACCCCATTTTTCAATCATTTTTATAAAGGTTTTTTTTTTTCTAAAAAAAATCTAAATCGTCTAAGGCTTTAAAATTGATCTTCAGTTTTTCTTTTATCTGGGTGTTGTAATATTTATTTTGCGCACAGAAGTGAAATCAGATATGATACAGGAAAAAATGCAATCTCCCCAGACACATCCATCACAAACAGCCCCTTTGGAACTGCATACTTCAGTTAATCCGCTCATGAATGAGGGAGAAGGAGAGAGCGAGAGAGAGAGAAAGAATGGAGAAGAAAAAAAGATGCATATCTGGATATATAAAATTAGCTTTATTAAAATGCACCAAACAGGCAAAAATCAGCAACCCATGAAGATTAAATCCAACTTACAGATATCGTGTAGGATGACGTTTCCTCAGCCTTAAAAGCTTTATAGAAAAAAACAAATAAAGTAATTCCGTTATGGATGATATTCCAGAGGTGTCTGAATAGTGAGGAAAGAGCTAGTCCTTTAAATAATGTCCCCAAAAACCCCAATGATTCTCTGCTGACATCACAAGAGGCGGGCCTTACATCCAAACCGCCTGAAAAGGACGTTGTTTTAAATTCTCCTGCTTTTCAGCCATTTAGATATAGGCCTAATATGTACTACAGTTTGTACCCATATAATATCTATATGCTTTAACACTTTGTAACTTGTGTAGCCTAGTTTAGTCAGTGATGGCGAGTAAAGAGAGCTACAGAGAGGAGAATAAACAACAAATGAACGCCACCATGGCATGCACACGTCATGACTAGGCCCTGACTGGGGTTGAAAACTTGAGGATAAAGAGGTGAAAACAAGCTTGTTTCAGTGCTACACATATAATCTAAACACACAATCTCATTCAAAATGGTCTGAATGGACCTCAGAGCCATTTGAGAAGTCCTGACTAAACAGAATAGAGACTTAACAGGTAATCATTTAGTCATTTGCGTCAAGCAGACCCTTTTTATCCTGAATGACTTTCAAAAGACTTATACAAGACCTCTGCATCAAAACACCTCTTGAACAAGGCTTATGCTGCAAAAACTGTAAATCATCCATGAATTGTATTTATCTTCAGTATACAGAGAGTGCTTAGCATGTGAAAGGACGGACAATTGGGTGCATTAGCATGAGACTGTCCTGCTTTCAAAGAGGTCCCTGTCTTCTAACTGAACTTTTATGTAATCATCCTACATCAGCTGAACTGTGGACCATTTCCAGGTTTAATCCTGGCAGCAAACAGGAATATGATAGGTTCGTGTTTACTGTGGCATCTCACAACTCGTTGGCATTTACTGATTGAGTGCTGTGGATGTTTGTAGGGGGTACGTGGTGTGCTACAAGGTGCTTATTCAGTGCGACAAATTAAAAACCTCTCATGGAATGACACTCAATCCATCTGTTATGAACCTCTTTGAACAACTGCTCAGTGTAACAACTGGGAACTGTCCCAGTGTCTCAATTAATGAATTTTTCACAGAACACAAAGTCTATGTCGTCTAAAGCGGTCTTTCACAAAAAAAAATTCTTGTGAAGGTCATGGTGGAAACATCAAGCCTTTCAACCAGCAGTTTAAGAAGCTTATTGATGTTGTGCCAAACTGGAACAAGAAAAGGTGGACTGGTACTTTAGATTGTGGATAGAAGTAAACAAAGGCACAATCAGGTGGTCGTTAATAAGGTATTAATAAGTAATGAAGCATAATATGTGAATGTTAATGCAACATATAGGCAGTTATTCCAAATATACAGACAATTATTTACATTAAATTAAATTAAATATTTTCATATATATTCTATATTCAAACACTACCGTTCAAAAGTTTGGGGTCAGTACGATTTTATTTTTTTTTTTAATGAAATTAATACTTTTATTCAGGAAGGACGCATTAATTTGATCAAAACTTAATGCTAAAAGTTAATTGATTTAAAAGTTAATGTTACAAAAGATTTCTAATGCTGTTCTTTTGAACTTTCTATAGAATCATAAAAAAAATTGGTTTCCACAAAATTATTATTTATTTATTTATTTAGTCATTTAGCAGACACTTTCTTTTCGGCTCATTAAAGATTAATCTTGCAGCGGCATTTTGGATTAATTGTAGAGGTTTGATAGAAGTGGTTGGAAGACCTGCCAAGAGAGGTCATTTATATTGTCATGTATATTTATTAAGCAGCACAACTGTATTTAACATTGATAATAATAAGATAATTCATTATTTTATAAGATTTTTTTTTTTGAGCACCAAATCAGCATATTATATTAAAATGATTTCTGAAGGATCATGTGAGACTGAAGAAATAGCTGCTGAAAATTCAGCTTTGGCATCACAGGAATAAACTACATTTTAAAATATATTAAAGCAGAAAACTGTTATTTTAAATTGCAATTATATTTCACAATATTACTGTTTTTACTATATTTGACGAGTATAAGATACTTTTTTAATTAATTTTTTTATTAAAAAAATCTTACTCAACCCAAACTTTTGAACAGTAGAGTATTGGAGTGTATATGAACTGTTAACCATTATATTTATTGATGACGTTCAAATGAAAGTGCTAAAAAAAACTTTTTACTTTTTTTTTTTCCTCAACATAAATGCATATAAATGTTATGATTTAGTTTTTTTTTTTTTCTTGGAAAATTAGCCCAGCTCAAGGGGGAAACAGTGTGTTGCCTTATGTAATGGAATAGGTTTTGTTAGATTAAGCAGGTGATGATTTCCTGTGATTTGGTATTACACAGAGTTTGTTCCCATTGGGGCAGCTGATGGTCATATGAAAAAGTTGGCTTGACTGCTCTGGCCTTGTGCAGTCAGATGAAAAAAGCTGAAATAAGGCAAAGTGACACACAAGTTTCTTCCCAGGCCAGCATCTCACTGTCACGTTTCACACCATGTGAGACTTCATGGGAGATCCACAGCTTTCATCCAAGAATGCAAAGACTACCACTCCACTCCTTATAAATACAAGGAACCGTCTAATACTTCGATGGATGTCTCATTTAGGCGACTGTCTTCATCTACACAAATATTAGCCTTGGCTAATTCTGCGTAGACTTGAGCCCAGATTTGTCTGCTGAAAAGAGAATTTTATTTTCCCAAAATAAAAAAAAAGGAAAAAAAAGAAAAATATTTATTTCTCTATGTTGGAAACATTAACCAGAAAATACAATATTTCACAATTAATATAAGAGAGTGTATATATAAGGTTTCTAGATTTTGGAGGAATATTCTTTTTATGCCATGCTCCACATTGCGAATACACCACAGCAGAAGTGATACGTCGCCAAATGTGGGGGATAAAGATCTGCAACAGTTTTTAAAAAAGTTTAGAAACAACTAGCTTGAGTTTTGTTAAGGTCGTTTTCAGCCATTTAATTTGGGTGAGTCTATGTTTTTGTGCACTCCTGCAGTCTCACTCTGCTTTGCAGGGTCATTTATAAAGACCTCCTAATACTTTGTTATGTACTTGTCATCCTCCATTAGAGCTAATGGACTTCTATATAGTTCAAGTAAATGTGCTGTACATTGTAGATAGCTTGACAGCGAGTGGCAGTAGATTTAACAATGCTTACACTACCTTTCAAAAGTTGTTGTTGTTAAAAGAAATTAAAACTTTTTTCAGGATGCATTAAATTGATAAAAAAAAAACAGTAAAGACTTTTACATTGTTACAAAAGTACTATTTCAAATAAATGCTGATCTTTTTATCTCTGTTCATCACAGAATTTTCATCAAAACAGCACGACTGTTTTCAACATTGATAATAAGGAATGTTTTTGAGCACCAAACTCAGCAAATTAGAATGATTCTAAAGGATCACGTGACACGTTTACTGTATTTCTGATCAAATAAATGCAGCGGTGAGGATAAAAGACTTTTTTAAAAACATTTAAAAAATCATACCCACGACCAAACTACATAGTACACATTGGACATCTTTTCATCTCTTAGCAGATGCACGACTTTCTCTTAGGACTTTCCTCTCATAAATCATAAAATCATACAGCATCACACCGATTAATATTTTCCAGAATTCATTGTTTTTCAATCTGCATAGTCTTGCACCAAAATAAGCATATGGGGTCTGCGCCAAAAATCTCCTTGCATAACAGACCTACTTTAATCCCCAACACCGCTAATTTGAGAGAACATTCATCACAACATCATGCACAACAAGATCCTCTTATTTTGTGACCACTGTGTGGGACTAATTCTTTTAAAGAGGTGACATGCTTGAGTGGAGTGCGTTTGAGTGCTCTGAATGGGGCTGGAGGAGGACATTTCCCACAACCGTAAGATCAGGTCACTCAGGTGTTAGTCATTTCTTTGAGAAAAATCCCTGCTCATCTTACACTTACTCCGACCCTCTGGTACAGAATTTCCTATGTAAACTGGACACAAAACACTTTTGTCTACCTTTTTCCTGTATTAGGAAAAAAAAGAGATTAAAGCATGTTATAAATCACCGTTTAACCCTTCACCTGATAATTATTAACTGATTATTTGTGTACTATTTTTCTGTTCTATGCCAGGTTTAAATTTTTTCTGTGACCTATGAGGTTCTGAAACTAGTTACTGTTCTTGGAATTACGACTCTGGATCGTTTGACTGTTCCTGCTGCTCTGTTTGGACAAACCTTCACCGTTCCTCTGACTATGAGCACGCCTGCTGCTTTTGAATTATGTGCCTGGATAATATAAATAAAGCACCATTACCTGACTGTTCTGTCCGTTCTGTGCCTGAGTAATTTGTATTCAGTCCAGACAAGTCTGCACATCTCAGTGCAGACTTTCTTCTGCACTGGAAGCTCCTGTCGCCAAGACAAATTCCTTGTGTGTGTGTAAACATACTTGGCAATAAAGCACTTTCTGACTTCTGCCTTCTGCCATTACGGACTGGTCAAACAGGGACTTGGCTGAGGATGCTTGTGGAGAGACGGGACATTCTTACTGAGCAGTCACCAGGACCAGTTTGTGAACCCTCCTGCTCTGGTTCCTCCAGCCCATCCTACAGGTTCAGGAACAGTCACACAATCCAGAGTCATAATTCCAAGAACAGACAAGATCAGTAACTAGTTTCAGAACAAACCGATTAATAACAAACAAATCAGACCTCATAGGTCACAAAAAAAATTACAAGCTTGCATAGAACAGAAAAATAGTACACACCACGATTCCTGCTGGTGCTTTGCTGATTATAGAGTTTAAAATCTCACCACTGATTATGGCCTTATTAAGTTTGGTGGCTGGGAGAATGAAGTTGGATTATATATATATAGCTTTATAAATGTAGTATTATTTTATTTTAATGATACTAAAATAACACTAGCAGAGGAACCATTCATGAGATCCTTTCTCCTTCCTCAGATGTTGCTCCTCTTTAATGAATTTTTGGTGCCACAAGTAAAAGTTTAAAACTCAGATTTTTTTAATATATGGATTTTGTTAAAAAAATCTGAAGTTAATATTAGGAAAGCTGTAGGGAGGTCAGTTCCATTGTTTTTGCAGTCTGTATATTATTTTCTCCTGTTTTTGGTTAGCAAGAGGGTTGTCTACTTTCTCATTCTTCAAAAGTTAGATTCTTTCCCTCTTAGGTAGTGCATCATTTTATTTTAGAAGTATTTTGTTCCTTCCTTATTATTCTTTTTTTAAAATTCAAGATTGTGTTTGATGTACTGGGACGGGAGAAGAATCTTCAACAACCCTAAATTGGGAAGGATGTAATACAGACGTGCCATTAAATGTGTCAACACTTTACAAGCCTCAGAGACAGAGATGAAGTGACATAAAACCTTTAACCTCGAATTTATTGGATTCACACAATGACCTCACGCTCAACATGAAGCATTTGTAGACAACGTGACTCACTAGTAGCCTGGAGTGTCCCATTCTGTAGCTATTTGTTGTGAAATTAAGATAATAGAGACAGTTAATGTACTGTATTATCCTAATATTATTCTCATCATCTTATATAAACATTCAGAGGGCATAAACTAACATAAAAGACAACTAAAGTCTTCCAGAGTCGCTGAGTTTCCTCATTAATCCATGAGGACTGACACTCCTGCTGGACTCTGGTAAGGGCCTAAGCTGGCTTTCTGATTCAGGAGAACTCTCTGCCTTTCCCTCCTGTATGTTTTCACTTGCATTATGGTCCACTGGCTCATCCTCCTTAAAGCCGTTGACGTCAAGCTGCACATCACCAGCCCGGGCCAATGGCACAGGAGGGGTGTGCCTGTGCGCTGATGTGGGTCTGAGGCAGTAGAACAGAGCCTGCAGGTCCTTCCGGAACTTAGAGCTCATGCCAATGTAGATAAACGGATTGTAGAAACTCGCTGACTTGGCAAAGAGGCTGGCCAGGATGCTGTTGAGTGGGGGCATTTGGTAACCCCAGGCCGACCACATGGAAATGACTGCATACGGGGACCAGGCCAACAGGAAGGCAGCACACAGAATGAGGGAGACCTGGAGCGAGAAACACAGTACGACACGTACATGAATATATACCTTTCTGCATTAGTCTTCGGTTTGATGATTAATGGGAATTTATTGGGCGACGGTTGTACCCGTGTGATGCTACGTTCAATCTTTCTCTGCCTCTCGCTGATATCTCCTCCCCGACTGGACTTGTGGCTGGAGTTGACTGTGCGGATGATGGACACATATGTAAAAACTATGACAAACAGTGGCACAAAGAAGTTGAAGAAGAAAATGCTGATGACGTAGAGCTTGACCAGAACTGAGTACAGCGCTTGTGTCCAGTCGATTTCGCACGTGCCATACCCATGAGCTGCAGAAGAAATGAACTTCAGTGATCTCTATTTCAACTCATTTCTAAAGATGGTAAACGTCCTTGTTTGAGTCCTACCTCTGTAACTGCCCCAGCCCAGAACAGAGAGCACAGCCAGATAGCAGTTATGACCAAGCAGATATTACGCTTGCTGACGTGATGAGCTGAAGGACATGGCAGAAACACCCACATCAGCACAGTCCTCATAGCATAATCATGCTGATTTATCTAGTATTTGTGCAGCCAAGGCTAATGAGCTTCTTAAAATAAAAAAAATAAAAAATAAAAAATAACATGGTTCTAGATTTATCAAAAACTCAACTTCAGAGGATTTCAAGTCTTGGAAGAACCTGGTTCCCAACCATTTATCCTTCAAACGAACAGGATTTCCTGGTTTCCAAATTTGTTTGGGTCAGATCACTGTGTCCTACTGTAAATCATACTGTGTTTCAAACTTTTTAATGCCAAGGACCCCCCAAATTAGATGATCCCCTTGTGAGGGATCCCTTTCCTAAAATATAGAGGCAGCTATAAATTTAATGCATAAAGATCCACTTATACTGTGTGAGTAATGAACACATGAAAAAAAATCTCTTTTACACAGAACATACATCATTTATAAACACATTTCCCACTAGGGGCTTATTGGGATTATAACACCTAGTCATATTATGCAAACTATATATTAAATTCTTTTTCAGAATTAATAATAATGTTTTTATGTATTTATTTACATTTTTATTCTGTTGATTACTATATGGATTGTCTAGTTTATTGATTATTTATTTAAAATAAATTATAATTCAATTAACAACTTTAGAAAGCAAAATTAAACTAATAATATCATTTAATATCACAGTTTTATTCATAAATGTTTTATATATGAATGGTAGTTTAAAAATAAATAGTAATATATTTAAAGCTGCAGTCCGTAACTTTTGGCGCTCTAGCGGTTAATAAACAGAACTGCGTGCGTCTTGCGGAAGAACATTGTAGCCGGAGCTACTTCTCTCTGTTTATGTCTATGACGAATCACGCAGGTACTGGGCTACTCCGCAGCGGTACCTACCCGAACCAGTTTAAAATAGTCCAAATATAAACACTTATTATAGGTGTACCGTAGTGATTCAGGACAAGCCAAAAACACGGTTTGGAAAATGGATTCATGGTGTACTCGATTATATAAATGTTGTAAATTTTGAACACAAAAGAGTTACGGACTGCAGCTTTAATTAATACATTACAAAACATGTTAAAACAATTTTTTTGTAAAATCTACTTTTTTCAAATCAATTTCTCGGCAGACCACATAGCACCCCTGTCCTAGAATTTGATAATTATATGGCACCCTTCCTTAAACTCTCTAAGAGTAATGTATGAAGCTAATTTGTACTCCAATAGTCTGTTGGGAGACCACACAAAACATTGAAAAAATGTGGGGGGGAATTGATTTGACATAGATTTTGTAATGTAATTACAGAGCAGCTTTAAGTGCATGAGCTCCACAGCATGAGCTCCTGGACTAAATATGGGTAGCAGCTATACAAAGGTATAATAACCCAGTAGGTTTGGCCAAGATAGAGCATACCATGCTGAGGCTGGCAACCTTTGATGTAGCGGATGACACTGATGGCTGTCAGTGTGTTGATGCTGATGAGTCCGAAGAGCAGGATTAGGAATCCGTCCATCTGGCCAAGACACAACATCTTATACATTGCAAGCAGGTCTGGCATTCTCTGCAAACCTGAGGCAGTAATCGCTCTGACTTGTCTCATCACCCACTAACCAGGCCCTGGGGAACAAGCCAGCAAGATTAGGGGATAAAAGGACACGTGCCCGTGTACTTGGAACAACTACAAATAATTCATCACTTCAGCCTCTCCTGCCTCATAACACCACCTGCCAGACTGCGAAGGGAACACAGTGATGGACCTCTCACACCAGATACTGTGAGATGTTCTCTAAGAGCATTCAGTGAAGTGAACGGAAGTGAATCATGCTTAAAGGCACTTGATCATTTGAACTTTGTAACTGAATTCATCTGGAGGATCTCAAAATTCTTTTATCACCTCATGTCGTTCTAAAGTTGTATGACTTCCTTTACTCTGTGGATGATAAAAAGATATTTCATTCAATGAATGTTTTTGTCCATACAGTGATATCTAATGGGGTTCAAAACACATTTGACCCCTTTAATTTCCATTGTATGTATAAAAAAAAAAAACAAATTCAGATCATCTTCTTTTGTATTCCACAGAAGAAAGTCAGTCAAACAGTTTTAAGGTAGCATGAGCGAGTATCATCTCCTTACCTTGCAAGTCCAAAATGTCTTTATAAGATAGCCGTCATCTCTGAGCACATCAAAAACCTCAAGGATTCCACGAGAATAACCAAAAATAGCAATGCTGGCATCAGAAACTGCAAGTTTGAGAGTCAAGAAATCCTGTGGTTCGAGAGACTTTCTTTGCTTGATTAAAAGCAATATTACAACCCCATTTCCAATCCAAGAAAGCCATCCTATCAAAAAAGAAATGTAAAATTCACTCATTCTTTCTTCTCACATGACATATTTCTACGTAGCGAAGCTCAAAAAGAAACAAATCCTAGTAACTTACAGAGAATTCAATGCAATTAGACCAGACCTTACCTAGTATCACCAAATAGACACCAATAGCCGTTTCTTTTCCATCCGGCACTCGGTAGACGGTGACATTTGAGGGAAGAATATTGTGGATGTCCATCTTCAATGAAAATCGTTAGGTTGGACTCATCTCAGGGCGACGTTTGCTAGGGTTCACAGTCTTGCTCTCTTCATTGGTGGAAGATCTAGCAGACTAGACCGAATACCCTCAATCTACACTTAAGCAAACATCTGAACTGTAATAGAGCACCAGTGTTGAACAAGACTAAGTGTAATTTCCTTATCTTGTTAAAGACTTTAGAGACTGAGATTTTTGGGACAGTTCTCGTCAGTCACCAAACCACTTAAGGCATTTACCTCTACTCTTGAACTCACCCGACGTCAATAAGCCCATGATGAGGCATAAGATGTCTAAATCATATGCTGATGACCCAAAGTACTCATAGAAAGAAAACAAAGTGCAATTGGTGCGTAAGACTTTATTGTTGGGAACCTTTAGTATTGAATTAAATAGTATAGGAAAACAGTATAAAGTACATGGAATATGAGTGATTCTGAAGTTAGAGGGGTTTTAATGGAATACAACAGAAAAGATCTTGATTTCAGTTTCGAGAAGGGTGGATAACTGGACTTCAATGCTCCTCCTATTTCTGACCAAGCTGGGAGAGCTGTGGAGAAATCAATGGGTTTAGTCTTAACCACTCTCATACTGCATAATCATCAACATTTAAACAAAAGTAGGATTACTACTGAATAATTGTTCAGCACACAGTCAGTGTCATATTAGTTCATATAAGACCACAGAAAGATCTGGGAGAAGCAAGACACACTTCCCTCTTTTTCACTCAGAGCAAAGGGGTAAAAGTATATTAACAAGAAATTGACGTGGGGGGAAAAAACTAGGCAAAATGTTTAAAAACTATTTACAGAGGGAAAGGCACATTATGACTGGGTGTCAATTTTGTTGAGACAAAGTACAACATAGATTTGCTTCAAGCAGCAAAAAGCATTCCAAGACACTCAAAGCAGTGCTGCTCCCTCCAACTCAAGGATAATCGGTTGGATTTTAGAGCAATGGATTGCGAAATAATTCATCACTTCAGCCTCTCCTGCCTCATAACACCACCTGCCAGACTGCGAAGGGAACACAGTGATGGACCTCTCACACCAGATACTGTGAGATGTTCTCTAAGAGCATTCAGTGAAGTGAACGGAAGTGAATCATGCTTAAAGGCACTTGATCATTTGAACTTTGTAACTGAATTCATCTGGAGGATCTCAAAATTCTTTTATCACCTCATGTCGTTCTAAAGTTGTATGACTTCCTTTACTCTGTGGATGATAAAAAGATATTTCATTCAATGAATGTTTTTGTCCATACAGTGATATCTAATGGGGTTCAAAACACATTTGACCCCTTTAATTTCCATTGTATGTATAAAAAAAAAAAACAAATTCAGATCATCTTCTTTTGTATTCCACAGAAGAAAGTCAGTCAAACAGTTTTAAGGTAGCATGAGCGAGTATCATCTCCTTACCTTGCAAGTCCAAAATGTCTTTATAAGATAGCCGTCATCTCTGAGCACATCAAAAACCTCAAGGATTCCACGAGAATAACCAAAAATAGCAATGCTGGCATCAGAAACTGCAAGTTTGAGAGTCAAGAAATCCTGTGGTTCGAGAGACTTTCTTTGCTTGATTAAAAGCAATATTACAACCCCATTTCCAATCCAAGAAAGCCATCCTATCAAAAAAGAAATGTAAAATTCACTCATCTCATTCATTCGGTGACATTTGAGGGAAGAATATTGTGGATGTCCATCTTCAATGAAAATCGTTAGGTTGGACTCATCTCAGGGCGACGTTTGCTAGGGTTCACAGTCTTGCTCTCTTCATTGGTGGAAGATCTAGCAGATTAGACCGAATACCCTCAATCTACACTTAAGCAAACATCTGAACTGTAATAGAGCACCAGTGTTGAACAAGACTAAGTGTAATTTCCTTATCTTGTTAAAGACTTTAGAGACTGAGATTTTTGGGACAGTTCTCGTCAGTCACCAAACCACTTAAGGCATTTACCTCTACTCTTGAACTCACCCGACGTCAATAAGCCCATGATGAGGCATAAGATGTCTAAATCATATGCTGATGACCCAAAGTACTCATAGAAAGAAAACAAAGTGCAATTGGTGCGTAAGACTTTATTGTCGGGAACCTTTAGTATTGAATTAAATAGTATAGGAAAACAGTATAAAGTACATGGAATATGAGTGATTCTGAAGTTAGAGGGGTTTTAATGGAGTACAACTGAAGAGATCTTGATTCCAGTTTCGAGAAGGGTGGATAACTGGACTTCAATGCTCCTCCTATTTCTGACCAAGCTGGGAGAGCTGTGGAGAAATCAATGGGTTTAGTCTTAACCACTCTCATACTGCATAATCATCAACATTTAAACAAAAGTAGGATTACTACTGAATAATTGTTCAGCACACAGTCAGTGTCATATTAGTTCATATAAGACCACAGAAAGATCTGGGAGAAGCAAGACACACTTCCCTCTTTTTCACTCAGAGCAAAGGGGTAAAAGTATATTAACAAGAAATTGATGTGGGGGGAAAAAACTGTTTAAAAACTTTAAAAACTATTTACAGAGGGAAAGGCACATTATGACTGGGTGTCAATTTTGTTGAGACAAAGTACAACATAGATTTGCTTCAAGCAGCAAAAAGCATTCCAAGACACTCAAAGCAGTGCTGCTCCCTCCAACTCAAGGATAATCGGTTGGATTTTAGAGCAATGGATTGCGAAGCATCTGATTTTTCACTAAATTCTGTCATTGTATTTGAAAACGTTTATAAATTTGTATTTTTATCTGAAGTGCGATGCAAATCGGGTGACTGACATCTTGAATGTTACATTTAAAAATCCTGTTTTTCATAACATGCACTTCATGTAGGTTTATGCAGTAAGGGAAGTGATCATACCTGTTTCATGAACTGGGCTGCATTGAAAAGCTCACTACAGCCATAAAGAACCCGCTTCCCTTGCCTGGCCTGTAGAGAAGGAAATCATTACACTCATTTTCATAAGCAAACCAAGTTCTTGTAGCACATGTCAATATGTGTGCAGTCATACCTTTGTGTAGTCAACAAGATTTTGATACTCTATGTAATTGCCCCCACCAACGACAAAGACGATGGCCTGTGAAATGAAAATGTGTCATCGCCTGTTAAAGCTCAATAGTGCGTGAATTTCAATGCAACCTGTACAAATGCTCTATATTAAATAAAACCCTGTAATATTTCACAGAAGGACTCAAATTGCCCTCCTACAGATGTGAGCTCAGACACACTGGGCTTCCAGCTCACTCTGTCTGCAGCAAGGCCTAATCTCCACTAGGAACAGAAGGCTATCTGTGCCATAGATTAACCCCGCCAGGTTACAGTGCATGGGCGCCAAATCGTTAAGATAACGCATCAACATCCACATGGTGCTAAATCAGAACAATCAGATCTCGGCATTGCTTTTTATACTCACCTCTTGAAAGGGGTTCTTGTTCCTTGGAATGGAGCTGAGGGAGTTAAACAGTTAGGATTAATTCATCCTCACTGGCAGAGAGCAAAAATAGCCAATATTTGCGGTGAAATCAAATGATAGATCTTACATTATAAATATTTTTAGTGGAAAGTTACAGCTTTGGCAAGGATGTGCAGATCCGTTATTTACCTAACTTCAATACTGCCTTATGTGTATGTAATAAAGACACAAGCGATTTCGAATACCTCCATGGATCAAATGCCTTTAACATAATATTTGAATACAGCGGGACCAAGTCAAACACAAAGATGTATCATCTGAAAATATAAGGAGCCTACCTCTCGCTTCCGCGAAGCATCTTGGGATCGAAGTATCTGTAGTCATCAGTCTCCTACAAAATCACAACACATAACATTAAGGATTACAGAGCGCGCAAGTAAATTAAGGATGAAATAACACTCAGCCCAACACTCACCCTCCCCACATCACCATCTCCTAAAAACCACCTCATCCATCTACATTAAACGCTTATCAAGACCTAATGCTTCCCAGCAGCCATTCATCTGAGAAGGTTCAAGAAGCCTCAAACAGTAAAATGTCCTCCAGTTTGACTCAAAAAGCAAGATTATCATCTCTCTGCTTTGAAGAGTCTCGACACAAATTGAGGAGAGCTGTCTCTGAGGCGAAGGCCAATGGCCTCCTACTTCCTCATTCTCCGTATCGGATGGGCCAAGCCTGTCTCTTCCCCCACGGGACTTCAGTCAGCCCGGCCTGGCAGGCATGGCGCTTTCTTCATTCTGGGAAGAAATACTTTGCCGTCAGCTCACTGAAAGAAATGCCCCACTGCATTTACAAATGGTGAAATGCTCCAGATTTTTCTGCTATCTGTTTACCCTCGTTGGGTAGCGAAGCTCAATATTAATAGTGAGTGCAGAACACACTATTGCAACCTTGTCGCACAGGCCCATCTGCGAGGACTATCTGACGAGCGGCGGAGGCAGGAGATTCTGTAGTGCTCAGCCGCCCAACTTTCCCAACAACAGCCGTATTGTGCAGGGCACTGAAATTTCAGTAGCTGAGAAAATGATAATACAGTTATGTTCAATTCAAGTTTATGGGCAGCGAAGGGGAAGCATTTCCAGTCGGTAACAGGATACGGCAATCTGTCCACCCCAGCTTTTGAGATCGAGAAGATCAGAGGGACCCTGAGGGTGTTTCAGAAGGAAATATGGTCTTTATGTCCAGGAACTAGAGGGGGAAGCTAAAAGGTTGCAGTTACACAAGCGGATGATTGCAAGAGCTACTATGTCAGCTAGCTGTCACTTTATACTTAAAACGCATTGGGACAGTTCTTGGAAGTGTGCTTAGGGAGAATTCAAGATGTCTAAATAGAGAGGAGTCCTGGAAGTCATACTACGAGGGCGCTGTCAAAGATTTGCCACATTATCTCTTCTGTGGTAATTCCACATTTATAAAAAATCAGCATCAATCATTCCCCCCGCACCATCCCGGCAGTTAGTTGATTTCAAAGCATCGGGAGAAATTTTCAAAGCTGATTTTTCCTTCAAGGCTATCCAATGATAACTTGAAAACAGCCAGTATGTTCAAATACCTGATGCTTCATATACAGACGTTTTGCAGAGAATGAGATCCACGAGCGTAGCAGAACACAATCCCATTATCGATGAAATAGCTTCGGCTTCTGTAGAGACGTCCCCTAGTGCTGCTCTCATGAGGGGTTTGCACCTTTGTTCCACCTCACAAAGGTGAAAAGCCCAAATGGACTGCTTCCAAATCCCTCAGCCCTAGAAACTTAATACATTGTGCTGCGGGTTCACTCACTAGAAAGCCTCTCCCTCTCTCTCCGCAGGTGTTCGCCTGGCTGAGACAGTCGCATTAACCGTGCAGCTAAGATTGCCTGGATTGAGGTCTCGGCACACTCAAAGTGCCTCTTCAGTGCCTCGTTCAGTGTCCCATAGCGCTGCAGAGTCATACGCTTTAATCCGCAGGGGGAGGTAAAGCAGTCAGCCATGGCGATACATAATACCATGTGCACACCGGACACAAATACACTAATGATCTTTAAACATTTTTGGATTTAGGCTTTTAGCTAACAATCAACATTAATCTTAATTACTGCAAGAGATTCATACT